TTTGGCACCGCGTGTCTAATTTTGAAAACAATGCCGCATTGCGTGCCGACGGGGCAACTTGTGCTGCCGCTTCCCTCAATAGAAATAAGAGAATTTATCTGGTAGAATAAGATTTTGGAAAGACATTGCCTTCACTAGATGATAGAATATTGCAAGAGAAGCCTCCTACAAGAATTTCTTTAAGTGAAAAGCACACCTACATGTCCTAAAAATCGCAATGTTTCAACGGTAAAAGCACATTCTTCCAAAAGAAAACATACTTTCAGCTGCCATATTTTTTCTTGAAATAAAATGTTTTCTTTTCTCTTTCTTTCTTCTTAATCCAATTTTTTCTTATTCTCTCTTCTGGAAATAGCCTCAATGAAGAATCTTCAGTTATACTCTAATTATATTGATAACAAAACCTCATCTGAAAACGATTAAAATCCAAAGTTCGCTAGAAAACAACAGTCTTGCTGTCGGTGCGCAGTGAGCCAGCTAACGACCGCGCGGCCTACGCGGCGCAAAATGAACATGGTACCCAGAGGGTTAATGAGTTCATAATGGAAACAAAACACTGCACAGCGTGGAAATCAAAAAGAGAGCCAGTGCTTGAAGATGATCTTTTCTCGGGAAGAAAGAGCAAAAAATAAGGTTCTGAAGGAAAAGTGATGAAATATTACCTTGGCATATCAATAGAAACTTCAACATCTTTTTTAGTGAGCTTTTCATTTGAGTACGTCGAAGCTTTTTTGATGTAATATTCGGCAATCTTTTCTGCAGTTTGGGCATCACTTTTCAACGGATTGTGGATTCTCTGAAACGGTGTCCTTTTAGAAATAAACCAGAAAAATTCAACATAAGAGAGTTACTGAGCGAGTGTGGCGCAGGGGTTGAATGTGCCCTACGACACACATCAGTCGATTGTTCGCTCGCGCGCTCTCAAAGCTCACCAAGTTTTCCATTTCCCCGGGCTCAGTGCTGAGCAAATCAGTTTCTCAATCGAAACGCTGGGCAAAAGCGAAACAAGGCTTCATCGGTGAGATGGATGGAGCTTAATCGTGATGTGACCATCGCCTCCCAAAATCCACACAGATCGACAAACGAAGCAAGCAACGCAAGCGATTGTGATTACAAAACGTCATAGATGAGTCTTCTAGAAGACCTAGGAAACTATCAATCTGACGACATATCTATTGCATGGCAAGCTGCAGATCACATGACTCTTCAAGAAGGCAGATCTTTTCAATACTCAAAAAGCTGTACGAATTGTACAACTCAAAACTTGGGTAATTAAACCTGTAAATCAATAATTACGACATAAGAACACCGGGTATTGATGTATATACAGACGAAAATCCACCACCTTGTACGAATTGTACAACTGAAATCACGGAGGCGGAGTAGTGCCTGGTTAGTAATGTAATGTCTCAAAGGGATGTAATAAGGATGCGCTGGTTCAATCCCCTCTCCAACACTCTTACGATCAACCAAGTGAACGCCTTAGCTCAGGCTCCTGTAGGAAAGAAAGGAGATCATCTCGACCGGAATTCTACGATAATCTTAGGACGAAATCCTCAAGCAGCAACCGCAGCAATACAAGAAGTATTCGAAGATCTTTGTCTGGGATGATGGCGAGAGAACAAATCGAACGCAAGGCAAGAAGTGCTGGAATCTATGAAGGAAATCCTGACGACGGATCGTGTTTGAAAAAGAGATAAATATACTTACTGGCACTTGAGATGGAAGATCGGTTTCCACTGCGTTTTTAAATCTTCTGCCCAGAGACTTTCTCGACTCGTCAATAACACAACTTTGTAGATCACGCAATGTCCTCGAGAGTAATGTATGAACAGCAGTGGATCTGAAACCTGCAAACTTATCACCTGTAAATCAATGAGTGCTAAAAAACTACAATTATAACCAATAAGGGGCCATAAGTGAGTCACCACCCACCGCACAAACGATATCTCCTATATCCTCTGTCGTCCCGCCGATTTTCGAAGGGATCGAGTTAGCTACTTCAAAACAATTCTTTTTCCCTACCGTGTGCAAGAGCCTGGCGAGCCGTCGTCTATGTGGGATTTGTTGAGCATAAACCATCTTCTAGGCTAATCGTGAAGATGCCGGACCAGCGGAACAGTGGTCTTCATGTGATGTGTTTGACATGCTGAGGAGTCCGCTCGGCAACAGCTCCCGTTTAACGATTCTCGTTTATCCCTCTAAAGACCACGTGCTACGAAACGTGGCACGTCGCGCGACGTCGCGTCTCACTCAGCTACCGTAGTGGCGTTGCTCTTCGAAGGAGGTCAGGCATGCAGGCTTGCAGGCGCGATCGACGTACACAGATGTTGCCTGCCTGCTACTGCCACGCGATCGACCAGCGCAGCGCCGCTTCTTATCAACGGCGGTCTTAAAAGGGTTTAGGGACACCATTGATATTTATCGGGGGTGAATCCCCTCAGCTCTTTCACACTGAGAAGCCTGAATATTCCATTAATCAATTGACTTCCGCGAACCCACTATGGGCGACTCCACGTGTGGGTCCGCGGACGTCAACCGAATCATTTTTTCACCATGCATCCTATTTTATCAAGCACCGTTTGAGGTGACTGAACGAATCTCTGGCCTGTAAAGTGCCTGGCGGTAGCCTACCGATGTATCAAGTCAGTAGCGCTATCGTCTCAGAGAAGTCCGGTACAGTTTGCCGACCTCGGGGATGGAGGGCTTCGTGAGCCATAAGCGCCGATTGAACCAAGGATTATGGGAGCATTAGAGACCATCTACAACCACTGCGCTATAGGCGCTCTTGTCATACATAGCGCGTGAAATATAGAGAAACCGCAGAACAATTTCAGATGTGATTTTGTTACTTTCCACACTATTATTTTCATCGAAAAGCAAGAGTATTCAGAACATTGGAAGAGTTGCTGAATGCGGAGCGAAGGATCGAACTAGCGACCCACGCGCCTACTACAAGCCATCTCTAATCACTACGCTCTATCCAGGCCACTGGCAAATATAGTACATTAATGTCTGGATTACTGCCACATACCTCCGTACGCAGATTGAAGAGGAGTCTGCTGGAGAATGTCTCGATTTTTATGATCGAAATTCAGTGATGCTGAGTTTCCGTAATATCTGCATATAAGCTCTTTGCACGAGTGCGTGTGGTGCAGTGGTTAGAGGTGCTCTGCGACATACACTTGGTCGATGGTTCAGTCCTGAGCTCAAGGCGCCCCAAGCCTTCCATCTCCTCGGGATCGGTGAGTTTGTCCAAGACTTAGCTGGGAGGATAGCGGCACTGAGTTGATCCATCGGTAGGCTATCGCGAATCACTGTAAAGACTAGAAATGCTGCTGCCCATCACTTCAAACGAAGCTGCACTGAAGATGGATGCATTGTGCATCCCATAGGGATTGATCGACGCCGGATAATCGATCTAAGCTCTTTTGCAAACCGAACAAAACCGTGGATTGCTTCCGATTTTTTTCAAAAAGTCTTCGTAATATTGAAATTCAACAGTTTTTGCAATTACTGGTCTGATAGAATATATTAACACTTTCGGGAACGTGGCCCTACGGCCCCTGCATCTCTAACTGGCAATTCAGGACGGTCTGCTTCAGCCTCTCCTCATCTCTACCCCCCAGCGTGCTGCGTCTCACATTGGCAACCTGGGGTTAGAGATGCAGAGAAGTTGGAGCAAACCGCCCAGAGTTGCCACTCAGAGATGCAGAGGCCGTGGGTCCATAGTTCAGCAAGGGTTAAGCCTTACAGAGGTCTGGTATGGCATCTTCAGTGATAGACGTACGTTTCGGCTCTCTCGTAAGCCTCATTGGTACCACATGCCCTACGCATGCTTATTTATACTATCACGTGGAAACGGTTTTCCTAGAATATAAGCACACCAGTGGAATCAGCAACGATTACGCTATCGAATGATCACTAATAGCCCAAGGAAAGAACTCTGTTCGGCTAGAAATATGCGTGTCTGCAACGCAAGAGATCTTCTCCTGCAGCAACGTTAAGAAAAGGCTTATTCAAGAAACGGCAACTTGGAGCCGTAGCCAAGAATCTCAGCTTCTAAAGGGTTTCTAACACTCCTATGAAAATTTCCTGTCCAGCGAATGAGGTCGATTTTTCATTTGCCTCCTCATAGCCGAATAGAACCCGGTCTGCGATAAAATGCTTTGAATAGCAATTTAGATTGACAAAACGACTTTAGAAAACCGACCTCATATTTTCAAAAGGCTGAATTGTCTGGAATGACATCCGCTTGAAGAGTAAGTCGCTATGACCACCGTAACGTCCATTGCTCTCACAATCAGCGCTCGATATACCGAAACTATACCCAAAAATTCTATTTTTTAAAAGAAAAAGGCTGCCAAACCTCGGGAAAAACCTGATTTACTGGGCTTACGTTGGCATTCTTGAGAGAAGACGAACAAACAGCTTGATGCTCCACCACTAAAGAGATATGTCGAGCACTTCCAAACAAGACTAGAGGTCCGGCTAACCAAGGGTGTCAACACAGATAGCTAAAGCTAAGCACTGAGTGTGCTCCAATCGCAAATTCCTGACACAATCGAACTCATGTTGAGTGTAATGGAGGGGGATAAGGCACCGACGGCTACGGTAGCGTGGCGCAAAGGTAGAGGTGCGGCGCGGCGCGCGCGTCGTCGTTGGATCGATCCCTTGCTGCCGGGGGTCACCCAGTTTCTTCCATCCTGTTCGGTCCACTACTTACACGTTCGATCCCGGGGAGATTATATACCATCGAAATTGCGGTGGTTTTAGTCCTGAGGGACATTCATTGCGCTATAAGATCACTTCGGAATGGGATTCGCGATCCGTTTCTTATTGCTTCCAGATCACTCCAAACTACTTCCAAAGCCCGTGTGCTCAGAGTTTTAAAGGTTAAAGAACCTTTTTTCTCATCTATAATTTATATCTCTCTGATTTGACTGCTTTCTAGCAGCGCTGTGATATGGAAATATTCATCTAAGACGATTCAAAAAATTCGCCTCAGCCGGGAGTTGAACCCGCGTTCCACCCTTACGAGGAATGCATAATTCCACTGAACCATCGAGGCCACCGTCCGCTACCTCTCGTTCTTCGATATGAACTATCGCAACGCTGATGAGCATTTTCTTAGTTGAAACCGCTACTTTGGAAGGCATATTCTGCAGTTAGTATGCTCCAAAATCACTTCCATGAACGGTGGAGAAAAGGCGGGGCTTACTGTGGCCTTTTTCACCGTATGCGCAGCGGTTAGCACACCTCCTTGCATAGCGTGGGATGCGGGTTCGACTCCCTACGAGCTCTGAGTTTTGCATATCATTTGATATTCTTGGATATATATATCCATAACATCGCATCTTATATTTACTACTTGATCTGGCCGTATCTTAGGCTTTTCCTCTACTGTGCAGGTGCCAAGACTTCCAGCATTCGATTCGTCAATCCTCGCTTGCTTGAGGATTTCCTCTTCTTCACGAACATCGTAGAATACTGATCGAGCACGCTCTCTTTGCAATCTCGGGGATAGCCAGGCTGAGGCGTTCCCTAGGGGTATTTCTTACTGATCGCTGCGGAGCGTTGGGGAGTAGGGGGAAGAAGGGGAGGGAGGGGGGAGGGTAGTCTGTGAGGGTTCAGGTCGCGTCGAGCCGCGCTTAGCGTCAATAGCCACTAGGCCGCCGGCCCCCTATGACATCGTAATCGCCGTACCAACGTGCTAGGGAAAATTGATTCTTTGAACTCTCTTTCTCTCCTTTCTCTCTCCTTTCTCTCTCTCCCCTCTCTCTCTCTCTTATTCTATGGATTTTGTCCTATTGTTTTCAGGAACCAAAAGAACCGACCTCACAGGCAAATCCGTCCGATTTATCGCCGGCACTCACTTCTGGAAATGGTGAAAAAATCGTCAAAATCAAATAAACAGCAGAAATCCTCTGGTATGTCATTGAGTGGCTTTTACTAGCTCTTCTGGAGATTCTCTAAAGTTCAAGATCACGTGTGGTGCAGTGGTTTGAGGTGCTCTACCACTCACACGTGGTCGATCAACGATAGTCGATGGTTCGCTCCCGCACTAAAGGTTACCAAGACTACCGTTTTCCGGGGTCCGTCGAATTGATTACATACTTGCTTGGGAGGGTAGCAGTAATGACTTTACACATCAGTAGCCCTCCGTGAGTCATTGTAAAAGCCAGATATGCATTGAATCACCTCCTAATTGCTACGAATGGAGTCGAATGCAGACGCAGCCCTGAGGGACTGATCAATTCGGAGAGCTATATTATTTATCCTGTGAAGCTCACAGTTACTTTTGTAACGTCAACAGCTCTCTTCTTTCAGCTGAAACAACTAACGTGGTTGTCGACGATACAGCTGTGCTTGGTGGTGGAAGTTCTCCGGAAAAACTCGATTCTGATGAGGTCAAGTCTTTGGTTTGTTCCAGCCCATAGGTTATGGTTTTCATAAAACATCTACTTGACTTTCTCTCGAATAATAGTTGTTGACCCCGCCGCTGGAGTCACCTTGTTTTCAGGATTTCGACCCCGATGTGTTGGATAACAGTCCATTCAATCACGATGGAAATGAAGAAGACGAGAATATGATCGAAGAGGAGAACCACAGTGTTGCACCAGGAACCTCAAATGTCAAGGATGATCTGTTGTCTACGTCCACGGTATTCACTTAAATCATCAAACTAGAAGTTATTTGGAAGTATTCTTGTTCTCTCTTGAATATACGCGTTTTCTTGTATTCAAAACTTTTCTAAATCTCTTTGCTGATCTCATTATTGATCTATAATATGCTAGTGAAGGAGCGAATTCTTCAGCCTTTAAGGACCACCGTTGATAGGCAGGCGGCGTCGCGCCATCGCCTCCGCAGCAGTTGCAGACAGGTAGCATCTACATGTCGGTGCATGCATGTCTGGCTCTCTGCCTACTTTTCCACGAGACGCTACTCCGCCATTACAGTTGCTGAGTGAAATCTAACGTCGCGCGCCTTGATACGAAACATGTCATATGGTCCTTGAAAGGTTAGGAGACGGCCGTTCACAGACGTCTTGTCGTCATTTGCAGAGCATACTATGAAGGCGTTTTCTCAAAACAAGCTCAGTATTGGAAGCTGCATTCCTCAGGTTCTCGCATACTACAAAAACAACAGTATGGCGCCATAAGATCTTATATAATATCCTGACAGCACAATTTAAGCCTTTTATGAGATTTTTCGTGGGCAAATATGCAGTGCAACACACGTGTTCCAGCCTTGCAGCCTCATCAGTTGCACAATATCCCTCGCCTGAGCCAATCCCTCTCGCGTGAGAACTCCCTTACTCAGAGGAATTGCCGACGAACACATTACACCGTGTGTAAAGTGAAAATTCATTTTGCCCCACGGATAACATAAAATTGCATGTGCAGTGACATGATCACTGGACGTTGCAGTGATTAACCTCGATTGCTCATGGCTGGTGTTCTTATTATAATAGCCTTATATTCGACTGTTTTTAACACGCTGAGGACCATGGGGGACGTTTCGTCCCACACTGCGACGTCAAATCTCCTCAGTTAGCGCAATGGCGGCGTCGCGCCCCGTGAAAAAGGCGGCGAATCTCGTGAGAAGGCAAACTCCAAACAGCATTATGGAAACGGCGAGACAAACCCAGATGATTCTGAGAGAGCATTTTCATCATGAAATGATGGATTTCCACTGAGAAACTTTCTACAGAAATATTTCCAGCAAAGGGAACATTTATATCTTCCATATTTCATCTACATTTCTTATGTTTCAACGACAAGACTACATCGCTAAATGATGATAGTGTATTGAAAATCACTATGATAGCGATAATGATTATGCTTCCGGTAATACTAGTGATTGCGAAAGTGACAATAATTGTCACCTTTTTGAGCTGTTTGTGAGATCTGATAATCAATGCATAGACATTGCATTGACCAACAATCGAACTTGTAGCTGGTAAAATGAATCATACTTCCATTCGATAATGATCGAGTAATACTAATGATAGTCCCAATGATGTAGAGTGGTGTGCAAAAACGTTTGCGACAGCTGGGAATTGAACCCAGATCGTACTCTTTCCGGGAGCATGTGTTAAACCGCTGACCACCGACGCTCAACTAATAATAGTGATAATGATAATGGTAGTCAAAGCGATAATGATAATTATAGTGATAGCGATAGTGAAAGTGATAATGATGGTGATGCCAATGATGATGGTAATAATGATGGTAGTCGTATGGATGTAAGTGATAGTGATAAGTAATATCGATGATGGTTATAATGGTAGTGATAATGATAACAGTGATAATGATTATAGTGATAGTGATAGTGACAATGATAGTGGTAGTGACAGTGGTAGTGAAAGTGAAAGTGATGGTGATAGTGATAGTGATGTGACAGCGATAGTGATAGCTTCTTAGTGAGTGGTTGTCCATGCCAAGGGCGTACTCTCCTCTGCCTTCGTTGTGCCTCGCAATTTTCCCACGGTCTCAAATAGATACCGAGACGGCGGCGTGCAATGAAGGCGCTTGCCACAAGAGAGCGCAGGCACAACGACAGTTTCACACAAAGAAGCAGATGCTCTCGCTAGCGAGTGTCGCGACGCGCTACGCCCCATGCCTATCAACGGCGGGCGCGAGATTGTTAATACCTTATAGTAAAATTGCAAGCTTTGAGCAATCGACTATTGATTACTACATAGTGGTGATCATGTCATTGGACATGCACTCATATGTCACCTGTGCATGAAGTGCATTTTCACTTGACATGCGGTGTAACCAGTTCGACGACGATACCTCTATGTAAGAGGGCTCTCTCCTGAGAGGAATCAGTTCAGACCAAGGATACTGTGCAATTGACGAGGCTGTAAGGCCGAAACACGTGTATTGCGCCCATACACGACTTCATGAAAGGCTTAGAATATGCTATAGGGATGTTCTAATTTTAAGCGAGGTCTCAAAAATCAGTTGAATTTAAAGGTTTTGAAGAGCAATGAAATATGTTCCGCTTCGTAACGATGCAATTTTCTCCTTGTGCCGTAGGGAATTCTAGACCTAGTGGCGTTGTTCTACTTAAATAGGATCTCTTAAGGAAGTCTTCAATGATATTTTGATGTCTAATAGGCGAAAATCACCTGTAAACTACAATTATGAAATAAATTTTCATCGCCATAGTGACTCACTCCAATACAATTCGCCCTGAGACGCGACGCTGCGCGGCACGGTACAAAATGTACCGCGCTGTTCCTAAGGTAGTAAGAGAAATACGAATTGGGTTAGCATTGATTGACTTTAGGATTTACAGGAGCCAGAAAATAGTCCGGAGAAGAAGAAGAAGAAATCGCCTACTAAGAAGAGAGGTTTATCGCCGCTGTTGGAATTGTTTGATGTAGTAAACACTTCAGCAAGTAAAACGAACTTCGGCAGTAATGGAGGTACTATGCTCATTATGGATTTTTCTACTGTTCGTCAATATTGTGAGTGGATCGTAATATTTCGGTTTGACTGTGTTTCAAATAGAGGCGAACGTTTAAAGAGAAAACTCCAACTCATGTTCAATGCGCTTTTGTTCCCGGCTTAGCCAACTGACTTCCGCAGACCCACGCCGGATGTGTCCGCCAGTGTGGGTCCACGGAAGTCAACCAGTTGAGTTAGTTTCATAATCATTGCAAGTATTAAATCAAAAGAGCAACTCTTACGGAACCTTGGCATCAAAGATGAGGCTGTCTTAGGAACTGTCTTTTGTATATGAATTACGCGAGGTTGGTACTCCATTCATTAACATTTCAGCGATTTTGTTTTTCTCGCAGTTTTGTCACGCACACTTTGAGAAAAAATGGTAAATGATGAGCAAGCTAAACGCATCACTAAAGAGTGCGTCTGACGCAGTGGTTAGGGATGCTTTGCGACTACGCGGTCGATCCATCGATGGTCGATGGTTCGATCCCTCGCTCAGGGCTCACTGAGCCTTCCATCCCTCCGAAATCAGTGAATTGGTACCACTCTCGTCTGAGAGGATAACAACATTGACTTGATGCAACAGTGGAACACTGCGAGTTATTGTAAA